GGCACCACCACGGCGGCAAGGCCTGGCCCGACTACTACGAGAAGGAGAAGGAGGAGCTGCTGCGGCAGAGGCGAGCGCCGCCGCGGCCCCGCTGCGCCCCGCGGCGCCCGCGCGCCGCCGCCACGGCCTCATCCCGGCTTCTTCCTTTGCAGGAGGCTCAACGAGCGCGAGCGGATCGGCGAGCTCGGCGCGCCCGAGGTCTGGGGGCTCTCGCCCAAGGTCCCTGACCCCGAGTAAGGCCCCTCCTGCCCTTCCCCTCCTCTTCCTCGCGCGCTGCAGTAGCTGCTAACGCTGCCTCAGCCCCGCGCTGCTCCCGTCCACAGCTCCGTGTGTCGGAAGCTCGTGTCCGTGACGCAGCTGGGTTAGGGATTTTGTAAGTCACTGTAGGGTACCGGGTACAGGAGACTGCAGCGTGTGGCCGCTCTGGTCGATCAGGTCCCCCCTGTGCCCTGATTCGCAAAGCACTTCGCAGGGACACTTGGGCTCTTTAATTGTTTCGTTCCGTGCAAATATTGGCTCAAAATCTGCAAGCACATATTTGGTCAGTTGTATATATTTGATACTGAGTTCCTAAACATCCAAAAGTAGGTTTTGAGTAATATTTTTTGTTTGTTTGTTTTTACTCAGTTCTGATGAACATACTCCCGTAGAAGATGAAGAGGCAAAATCTAAGAGCAGTTCTTCGGATTCCAGCTCAGAAGGTAWTTTGCTTGACCTATACAGCCTGTTTCCAGACGTGGTGGTTACCTGTGGCTGCACTCTACTCTTGTGGCTTTGCTGGGATGAAGTGAGCTAATGGGTTGTAGTTCAAATGAGAATATCTCGGCAAGATATGTATGGAGCTGGATAATCTTCAGCTCTTCTTTGACATTGTCTTTTGAAATGTTCTAGAAGAGAAAAGGAAAAGGAAGAAGAGAAGGAAGAAGAAAAAGCAGAAAGCATCCAAAAGAAAACGCAGAAAACATTCTGAGGATAGTGACAGCGACTCAGAGTCAGACTCTAGTGGTAAGAAAATAGAGTTTCTGTTGATCTGCCTGGTCTGAGAGCTTCTGCTGGGCTCCTCTCAGCACCCAGCAAAGCTCCAGCTTCTGCCACCCCAAAACTGCAGAGCAGCTACATCAGCCGTATGTACTTTGCTCTCTCTGTCGTATGGATTTGCATTGGCGTTTCCTTGATGAAAAGTCTTGCAGTCTTCAGCAGGAAGCAGCATCTCTGAATTTCGTATCATGCCAAATRGCTCATGAGCGTAATGAACAATAATGCCTGTAGCTTTCTATTAATATTGTCTCCATAATCTGGTACCGAAGCAAATTATGTTCGAGAACCTCAGTGCTAAAGCATTCTGGTGGAGGAAACGTTTATTTGTTCACAGTGCACTAAAACTGTTTCTTTTGTTTGTTTTTGTTCAGATCAGGCATCTTTTTAAAAGACTTATATTCTTTTTTTTTTCAGAAGAAGATAAAAAGAAAAGCAAAAAGAAGAAAAAGAAGCACAGAAAGTAAGTTTCTAAGATGTTATGTGTAATTATACGTGCTTTTCAGTAGAGGGCAGCACCATCCTCTTAGCAGGCGGTGAAGAAGACTGCGTGCTCTTGTAGTTAAGATCATAAGGACCATCAATTTGTCTTAGTGTGACATACTATCTTTAAGGGTACAGAACCCAGGAACAAAGAAGACTTCCGGGGAACCCAGGGAGCTGCTTCCAGCACTGGAGTAAAAGCATAACTGGGCCTCCACATCTATTATTTTTGTTTTGCTATAAAATACTTCCTATCAAAGGGCACCAACCTATATCTTCATAATCAGTCTTTCCCTAGACAAGATTTACCTTGACAAACTAATCAGCTGACCTTGATTCCTAATGTTTAAAATCCTCTTGAATTTTTGTGAGCAGCGTTTCTGTCTTTGACTTTATCACAGAAAGAAGTATAAGAAAAAGAAAAATAAAAAGAGCAGGAAGGAATCCAGTGATTCAAGCAGTGAAGACTCAGATGATGAAAAAATTCAAGGAGATCTCTGGATTGAGAGATCAAGTAGGTTCACATGACTTTAAAACTTCCTTTACAAGTCCTCACTACTCATTAATTTATTTGGTGTTGCTGACCTGTAGCTAATCTGATAACAAAGATAGTGGGCACAGTACTAACCTTCCTCTTTACTTGGTTCTTGCAGAAAATACAGAAGCTGACAGCCTCATTGGACCAGAGGCTCCCAAAACACATGCGTCTCAGGATGACAGACCTCTTAAGTGAGTAGCTGGTTCTGATATTACTTAGATCAAATTATATAAATCAACTATGAAGACTTCTGCCCAAAGGGACTGTTATAATAATATGACATGTAGTTTAGAGAGACACTGTATCAGAAATTTAAGGAYAGAAGTGGCAGTGATACTTGTTTTTACCTGAATTCAGGTAGAACAATCTGTTTTATGAATTTTAGCCTTGATTCCTAGGTAAATTAATTTTTCTGTTCTTCAGTAAGGGTGCCCAYGATACACTTTATTCTAATGTTCTGCATATTGTTACTTTATATAGTCTTCATTACTATTAATGAGTTTGATCAAAACAGTAATTTAAGCTCTTGTTCCTAAGGGTTGCCATAGAGAAGATAAGCCAATATATGGTAAAGAATTTGCAAATGCTTAAAAATGTGGCTGTAGCAAGTAGTGAGCAGGGAAGCTCCTCACTGCTTTGGTTCAGGCCTTCTCTCTGTACTTGAGACTGACTGAAAATACTGTTGTTTTGGTTTTGATTGTTTTTTTAAGCTATGGACATGCCCTGCTCCCTGGCGAAGGTGCAGCAATGGCAGAGTATGTAAAAGCAGGAAAGCGTATACCCCGGAGAGGTGAAATCGGCTTGACCAGTGAAGAGATCGCGTCGTTCGAGAGCTCTGGCTACGTAATGAGTGGTAGCAGGTATGGCTTGGACAATGGCAATGGCTCAGCGAYGTTTCTAAGAGCTGCTTCCTCCATTAGCCAGAGAAAACCTGGAGCCTGTAAAAAGTGCTTTCAGGCTCTAGCTGAAAATACAGAGAAAAGGGTGTTCTGGGTGTTTGCACTAATCTGTGCTAAACTACCTTTCGATACAGCTGTATGGTGGGTTTGGAAAGGTATTTTCTCCTCAAGAGTTAGAAGTAGGTTAGCTGGATTTTTTTATTATTATTATTTATGTTATGCTGGCTCTTCAGTGAGACAAAGTGCCAGGGACTGGTCATGCTTTTTCMATGAAACACCAGCTGTACTGGATTAATTTTACATTCTGGAGCACCAAAAGCTGGCACCCTTGGGGCAGAAGGGGCTCCCTCCTCGCTGCCAGAGGGCAGACACCTCAGCAATGAGCTTCTAACTGCTGTGCTCCTTCCTGAGGAGGTTTGTGTGCGGTGGGGATTCTCTGCTTTAGTTATCGTCCTTATTTACAAGCTGAAAACGTTTGRGTCAGTTGATGGATTGGGGCAGAGGGGCCTTGCATCCCTCTGTGCTGAGGAACACAACGTTCTCCTCCCCAGACATCGCCGAATGGAAGCCGTGCGTCTGCGTAAAGAGAACCAGATTTACAGCGCCGATGAAAAGCGAGCTCTGGCATCCTTCAACCAGGAGGAGAGAAGGAAACGAGAGAATAAGATCCTTGCAAGCTTCCGAGAGATGGTCTACAGGAAGACTAAGGGCAAAGACGACAAATAATTCTTTTTTTGAACTACRCAGCATGGATTTTAGCAAGCAGCAGCTAACCTGTTCCAGCCGTGATTTGAAAACAGCTGCAAGTGCTGCAGTGCCTTTCAGCCAAGAGGGCCAAGGCTCAGGAATGGATTACTTGAACCAAAAAAACACAGCTATCTTTATCAGATTTTCTTGGATGGTTTGTTCACCATCTGCAGGGAATCAAAGTGAAAGGCTACGAGGCTCAGGAACAGGCAGGGAATGTTTAAGGTGGGAATGCTCTGTGTTTATGTTGAATTGGACATTCAGAAGGATGTAGTRGGAGGGTTTTATTACTTGCTGCTGGTACTGATAAGTGCTGTTCTCCTTTTATTTTGACTAATGAGAATAGACTGGCCGTCACAAACAAGCTACTGGCAATAGTAGTAAAATTTAAAGAATTCCTGTGTTGGATCTAAGGCTGTCCACTTATGCATTTTTTTTTCATAAGTCCTTTAAATTTTTATTTTCCTCTCTCAAAACATCTGAGTTTGTTTTGTGGTTCAAACTACACTTGTAAATAGAAATGAGTTTGTWATTTAATACAGACTGGCTTCACTTACTTTAAAGCAAGCAGACTGCAATTGTTGTATAAAATGACAGTAGCAATAGCAGGGTCTGATCTAGAATCTACCACAGCCCAAGAGGAAGAACTAAGTTGCTTGCTTCTTTTCCTACTATGTTATACATAGGTATCAGAGCGGTGGGCTGCAGTGATTGGAACCCCTGGATGTACACAGGTGGTAACGAGGATGTATCAATTTATTTTATTATTGTTATTTTGTCTGTGAAAATGCTCTAGATTAAAACCTGGTTTTAATTCTTGTACTTTAATTTGGTCTGTTTCAGTAGTATTAAGCAGCTTCTTTTAAACTCCGTGCTAGGGTTTTTTTTTTTCTTTTTACTGCACCCCCCCCCCCAAATCTCACTGTTGTAATTTTAGCAGTGGAAACATCCTGTATGTTTCTATTAAGAAAACTCTGTGATGTTTGCATTGGAGTTGTGTAAACCTGGCTCTGACAAACAGCATGTCCAGCCCAGCTGCCTCTTTGTGTTTACACTGTACAGAACCTGGTGCTGTCCTTTCTTACCCAAGTACCTGCAAGGGACAGCAGCTGCAAGCTGGAGATGATTTTTGTTAGTTTATTTTTGTTARTTTTTCACAGATTTAATGCTTGGTAGGTATCCATGCAGCTAAGAGAAAAAAAAAAAAGAAGAAAAAAAACTTAGGAAGCAGGCGCTTTTTTATTATTATTGTTATTATTATTATGTGTATTTGATTCTCCACAATATCCTTACAAACATCATATTGGTGATGATGAGCTGGAGCTGTCCATTATAGAATAAGGCTCTCTATGAGGATGATTTTATTTTCAATGATGTCTTTAAGCCACTTTTCTCTAAATCGACACTCTCCTGGCCTGGGAGYGGGAGTAATAATAGGTTACATGGTAAGAACAAGTAAGGTTTGGAGAGTTTTATTCCCAAGACAGGTGTATCTGCTGGAAAAATACCTCCTAGATCTGCAAAAGACCCTTGCAAATTCATTGTGTAGAAGGCAGCTGCTCATGAGGTGCCTGTCAATGCTATGGTTAGAGCAGAGCTGGTAAGATCAGGTTTTGCTTAGCAAAATTTTGATAATTATTTCTGTTTATAAATGTTTTMTTTACATCAAGGTGCCTGTTTGTTTTGGCATGGGGAAACTTGCTATAACTCCAGAGGATTTTCTGTTCTGATGGGATAGTATTAATGTTTACCTGTGGATGAGCCTGCTCGTTTCCAGAACGAAGAGCACCTCCACAGGCAAGGTCTGCAAGAGAAGGGGACAGGCACAGCTCACACTGAGCAACGGGGCAGCAAAAAGCAGACATTTCAACTCCATGAAAGCTGCTAGCCACTTTCTTAAACTTCTGCAGCACTTCTCATACAGGTTAGAATAGTTTTGTTTTAAAGCATCTGTGAGTATTCTGATGTGAAGGGAATGCCACGACCTTAACAGTTGGTGCTAGGATTTGATTTATGACAAGTGGCTGTGGCCTGTGAGCTGCTGCTGAGGGATCCAGAGCCAGYGAGTTACAAAAATACCTGACATACAGTATGATTAAGTGTAAGTTCTGGAAGAAAAAAATACCCTTTTTCCCCCCATTCAGCTGCAAAATATTGTTGCACAGATGAATACTGGAACGTCCAATATCTAGATGCCTGGACCGTATGACTAAGCAATTATTTCAGCAGCAAATGCAAAAGAAATTTATGCAGACAGTAAAAATGAGGGAATATCTGTAGTGTGTCATGGGCATTAGTATTTCAAAGGCTTTTCTGGAGCGTAATACTAGGTATGCTTGGTAATTGAAGCAAAGATGTGAAAAAGGGTCTTGAGGATAAAATTGGTATCTTTGGAGTGTAGTTAGGAACTTTCCTGAGTCTCACAGTGTTTCTTGTTATGGGCTACAGTTGTTCAAATTCCTGTTCTCTGTCATTTGGAGTAAGTGGAACAGGAGTTGTACTGCTGCACCTGGAAGCATTGCTGTGTGCCGTTTCCAGATACTTACAGCTGGCTTGATTTTGGAGACCTCTATAACGAAGTGGACGCTTGCCGTGGCTCGTGGGATGGGTTTTCTGCGTGTCGGGGTGCTCCAGCAGACTCTGTAATGGTACCGCTTGCTGTACTTCGTATCCTCTTCCTCCAGAAATTGTGTCCAGTGGAGCCAACTTTCATGAAACTCCCATGTCTGCTGAACACACATCATGCTGTGAGATTCCCTCTCTAGCAGAGAACACTGAAGGCAGATGCTAAAAACAATATGAGTGGCTCTCACTTGTTTTTTTTTAACTCTAATCAACGGTGAGAGGGGATGATCTAACTGAAATTTCCGAAAGATTCATATTTATAGCTGCAATGAAAGTAGTGGGTGGAGTGTCACTCACAGAGATGTATTCTTCAATCTGCTCCTGTCCTCTCTGCACGGTGAAGTCCTTGCATGTGGTCCACTGGATATTTTTGATGTCATATTCAGCTGCTGAAAACAAATAAAATGCTGAGGAACCTTCTGCGAGGCTCTGATAAGATGGCAGACTTTGCAACTAAAGCAAGCTCACTCTCTGTCTCTTGCAAATCCAGAAGATGCTCTTGTGCGCTGCTTATCACGTKTTCAATGAAGCTGCGGGCCTGTTCCTTCAGGGCAGCATCTTCCTCTCCCTTGTCCATTGTCACCTTTAGAAAGAGAAGTGCCCAAAGTGGCTCTGAGCAGGGAGCTCCTCAGCACTCCGGGAGGGACATTTGGTGGTGGGAAGGAGCCTGGTGACAGGGGTGGCTGTCGTGATCCCAGGCGCTCTGTGAGGTCCCCACCGTKCTGCAGTTTGTCCTTCCCTCCCTGCTCCGCTTGCCCTTCCTGCTGGGAATGTTTGTACTGGTGCTGCCTGGCAACGCGGGTGCCTGGCGACAGGAGAGCATCCGCGGGACTGAGCCGGGCCCRGGGCCCAGGAATTCTGGGCTCGCAGGAGCCCCCCTTGCTCCCCGTCAGCACCATGATGAGAACGTTGAGGGTGTCAGCTTAGGGGGCTGCTCTAAAAACAGATGCCAGACRCTTTTCTGGATGCTGGAAAAGGCCCCTGAGAGCAAGGAAAGGGGGGCAGCTGCCTTGCTGGCGCTGCGCAGCGGGCTGGAAAATAGATCCACAGCTGGGGGAAACTTGGTGCTGCTGCCTGGGATGGAGGGCCCTGGGAGCTGCGCCTGGTGCTCCTTTGCCACRTCCCAAAGGCGGGGGGCCAGTTGCACATGGCTGCTCTTGGGGACGTGCCCCATGGGGTGACACAGCCCAGGGCAGAGCGTGAAACTGGCAACGGCCCCTCCAGGCACCTTGCTGTGTGCCGCGCTGCTGTTCAGTGCCTCAGTGACTCCCTTCCCCTCCAGGGATGATTGTTGGTTTGTGCTGTGGTTTCCATRATTCCCAAACTCTCATATTCCTTCAAAAAAAATCCAGCCCCTTAACAAGCTTGTCACAGGTCAAACCCCCGCTGACCATGTTTAAAAAGCAGAAGCAGCTGGAGGGCTCCCGCCACTGTTTCCTCTGACCGCCCGGCCACAGTGTCCCCAGGGAAGCATCAGAGCCACCTGTGTCTGCTCTGGGACACAGAATGTGCCTTCTGRCTCCTGACGAGGGATAGCCCAGTGGAAACACTCGGTCATAGTCATGCTGACCAGCGTAAGAAGTCAGGTACAATGTTTAGGCCTCAGCTTGCCATTACTCGTGATAATGGACATCTGGAATAATTCTGCTTATTTTCTTTTCCTGCAGTAGCGCTACTTTTTCAATACATGTACGGAGAAACAGAGGAAATACTAAGGTCCAAGTATCACCCTTCAGCATGTACAAAACGAGGCAAGTAATCCCACTTAAAGTTTATAGGGAATATAAATACATCCGCAAAATACATGTATGCCTTTATTAGAGAGATAAATCATTTTGTGTAGATAGAGAGGTTCCTCACACACCATTGTTCCTAGTCGATGTTCTCCAGCCCCTGAAAAACAAGTAACACAATATGCACAATCCACAGCCCCACCGTGCCCCCGTCCCGGCCCTGTGTCGCCCACCCCACAAGCCACCCGTGCTGCTCCCGGCCGCCTTCCCCGCGGAAGAGCCAAGTGCAGCCGGAGCCCCGACGGTGCCCGCGACGCGGCGGGGAGCCCCGCGCCCCCCGGCACGCTCCCCTGTCCCCGGCACCTGCCTTGGACACGTAGTACTTGTTGACGCCCGAGATCCGCCTGTCCCTCTCCATGAGGGTCCACTGGAAGGGGTAGCGGGCGATCCTCTTCTCCTGCACACAGCGTGAGTGACGCGGCACCGGGACACCCGGGCCCGGGGCACCGGGACAAGGGGGTACCGGGACAGAAGGGATCCCGGGGGGGAGAGGGAGCAGGAAAGGAGGGATTTTCCAAGGGAAGGAGAGATCCCGAGGGAAGGTGGGTGCCCGCGGAGGGGGCAGGAGGGACCCCRGGGCAGGCGGGGCCCGCCGAGGCGCTGACCTTGCCGCCGTTGCACCAGCGGTGCATGTACAGGGTGGAGAGGCCGGGGATGCTGAGGCAGACGCCCATGACGGCCATGCCGGGCAGGATCTCGTACCACATGGCGGCGCCGCCCCGCTCCGCCACCCGCCGCCGGTACCGGCCCCGGGACGCTCCCGCCCTGCCCCGCGCGCCTTCCCGGGGGGCGGTGGCGGCGCCCCGGGGGCTGCCGGGAGCTGTAGTCCGCGGGGCGGTGCCGCGCGCGCGGTCTCGCGAGAGGGCGGCGGCCAATGGTGGCGCGCGGGCGCGGCGCGCTGCCCCGCCGCGATGAAGGAGGACAAGGAGAACAGCAGGCCCAAGGAGCGGCGCGGAGCCGCCGTCGCTAGCGGTACCGCGCCCGCCCCGCCGCTGGGGCCCGCCGCCGCCACGGACGGCCGCGGGGGCGGCGAGGCCGACCGCCTCGAGCGGCCCAAGGACAAGAAGGAGACGCTGAGCAAGGTGGGGCGGCGGCAGCGGCCTGCGCGCGCGGCCGTTAGCGGCCGTTGGCGGCCGTTGGCGGCCGTTGGTGGCCGTTGGCGGCTGTTGGGCTGGGGGGTGCTCGCGAGGCGTGGAGCGGCCGCACTCACGGCCTGCTGCGCAGGTGGTGATCCGGCGGCTGCCGCCCAGCCTCACGAAGGAGCAGCTGGAGGAGCACCTGCAGCCGCTGCCCGAGCACGACTACTTCGAGTTCTTCGCCAACGACTCCAGGTAGGGCCTGGTCGCTGAGACCCCCCCTTCCCCGCCGCTGCGCCCACCGGCCGCTGCCAGCGCCGCCTGCCCTCTGCTCTTCTCTCCCYGCAGCCTCTACCCGCACATGTTTTCGAGAGCCTACATCAACTTCAAAAACCAGGAAGACATAGTCCTCTTCAGGGATCGCTTTGACGGCTATGTTTTTGTGGATCACAAGGGTAAGCCCGCAGTGTCTCGCAAGCCTGCGCTCCATATGTGCATAYGTAGGAGGTCATTTGGATTTAGAGGGATGGTCATCAGCTGCCTAGGGCTTCCCCCTTTCACCTTTGCATCTTAAACTAATGTGATGCTATATGTTGCTGTTACGTAGAGCTGGTTTCGCATCTGTGTTAATCTTCATTGTTGTACGTGAGGCTTCAGAAAAGCTTAGCTGAGGTAATCTACTTGCAGTATAATAACTGCAGTTGTGCTCCTGAAGTTGATATTTGTATTGTGTCTCATGTCACCTGAATCTGAGTCTGAAAACTAAAAATGGTGTTTTCCCTCTGCAAACCAAGTGAAGCTGAAGCTAATGACTCCTCCCTTCCCCTGTGTTACACATTCTTAGTGACAACAGATGCTTTTTAGTCAAACTTACTCTACTTTACAGATGAGTGAGCTATCCTGATGCAGCACATGTTTRTTAGAGGCTTGTTTATTGCAGTTGAGGTTAATTGAAAGAGATGTTATTCTATAAAACCTGCTGTCTCTAGCATGCTAATTGGTGAAACAAATAACATTTTTAGATCTTGAAAGCTATGGTATCTGAATAGCCTTTTCTAATATTACATGTTTCTTATATGACTTATTTTCATGATTTAGGTATGCACAATGTGTGCTCTTTTATATCYCATTCATCTAAAGCTTGTTTTTGCCCTCCTCTTTTAACAGGTCAGGAATATGCAGCCATAGTAGAGTTTGCACCTTTCCAAAAAGCTGCAAAAAAGAAGAGTAAGAAGAAGGATGCCAAAACGGGGACCATTGAAGACGGTATAACAGCTAGCTCATCTCTTTGCGTGAGAGTGCGTGCACAGAGCCTTTGCAGGCCGTGGCCTAGCACAGCTTTGTGTTACGTCTGCAATGCTTCTGCTGTGGTACTGTGGTGTTTCAGCGAAATGTGTACTTGATATGTGAGGCTTATTAGCAGTGCTTTCTCAGATACAATCTAACCAAATCTGTCACATGTTATCGTCTAAGACGAACGTGATGCAGCAGCTYGTTTGAGGAGCGTGTTGCTTATACATTGCCTTTTCATAACTTGAAAGCATATGCAAATTTCTGCTAAGCTTACAGCAGTGTACAGTTTGATTGCTTGTTTTCTTAATACCATGGTGCATCTTTCTGACTTTGGATTTTTTTTTTTTTTTCATAGATCCAGAATACAAGAAGTTTCTGGAAAGTTACAGTGCAGATGATGAAAAATTAACCTCAACTCCTGAAACGCTGCTGGAGGARATAGAGGCAAGAAACAAAGAACTGATAGGTATGGAAATCTGTATGCAGTAGTTAGGTTTTTTGTTTTGCTTTTCCTAGAGAGCAATGAGAATTTTGTGTAGTATAATTTCAAATTGTGATTTCAGGACTTTGAAGTTTGAGGAGAATGCTTTGAAGAGCATTCGTCTGTGTGTTATTTGATACTGACAAACCTTTATACTAATATTGCTCAGTGTACTTAATTTTGCCTTCCATACCCTAAATTCCTCTCTTGGTTCAAATCCTATATGATACTCCCTCCTGCTTCAAGCTTGGATGGTGGTAGCCAGACTAGRCTGTGTGGAGCAGCTCCGTTTACATGATAGCAGTGATACTTAATACAAAATGCTGTGGGCAGGCAGAARTTAAACTGTATTTTGTTTGGCTAAAATGCACAAGAATACGCATACATAAATGTATATATAGGTACATTGAAAGTGTCTGTCTCAAAGGAAAGCTAAGAGGAGCGTAACGCTCACTGAATATCTGTTTACACATAGATGTACTGGCTAGMGTAACAATGTCCTAAAGCAATTATGGGATCTTAATTGTTATCATCTAGATAGACTGGATAATCTCGTAAAGCTCTTTAATTTCATGCGAGGGTTTAGCTCTAGGTATTACAGTACTGAGTATGACAAAATGCTAAAGTTTGCTTTCATGTATCCTTTAGCTAAGAAGACTACTCCCTTACTGAACTTCCTGAAAAACAAACAGGTGAGGGTTTTGTCTAGAATATTGTTGTTGCTTATAAGTACAATAATGTGCTCATCTAGAGCTTGAGTAAGTATATTATAGCTTGTATATTGATATGTTTCTGCCTTTCTCTTTGAAGAAAAAATGTGTCATTATGCTCAATTATTATTTTATATAATTTTCAAAGCAAAGGCGGCCGTTATTGTAGAAATGAAAATCTACTGCTCTTAATGTCAGATTTAAGAGAACAAATATTTTGAGTGGCAAAACAGATCTTATATGGTGAGATAAGTGCTGCATAGAGGAGTAGAAGAAACATGCCTTCAGGCTATTCAAGTGCCTTTGAATGTCTGATTTTAGAGCTTTTGACTTAAAATGTGTATTCACATTTATTAATAAGGGTAGAAGAGGGGCCTGAGTTGTCTAGCATGTTGCTAGATGTAACCAGAAGGCACATAAAGCATCATGTTCACATCTGTGGCACTGGCAAAATAATTTTGTTTTAATGATTTTATTTTAATGAAGTTAYGGCAGAGGTCCTTTTAGGTAATTCTTATTCTTTATCTTCTTATAGAACATAATCTCATTTTAATTTTTAGCAGAGTTAGATTTAATTAAAATTAGAATGAGATGGGCTAGAGTTAGTGGGTTTTTCCACTCATTGCTCTCATAAACCTTAACTTGTGCAGTCTAAATAAATAAAGGAGGAAAAAAAAAAGAAAGAAAATAACACTGAAGTGATGCTGTAGTGTGTTCAGGTTCACAACAATAGATAGAGACAACAGGACTTTTTAAAGCAATAGTGGTGACTGAGATGAGTGACTGTGGTGGAATATTATCTCRCTTCCTAGTAGAGTATCCTGTCAGGCTTAAAGGGATGCTCTTTAGTGCAGGAATATACTATACTATTTTTCTCTACTTTTGTGCACACAGAGGCTGAGAGAAGAAAAAAGAGAGGAGAGGAGGAGGAGAGAACTGGAAAGGAAAAGACAAAGAGAAGAAGAAAGAAGAAAGTGGAAGGAGGAGGAGAGAAGGAAGCGAAAAGAAGCGGAAAAACTGAAGAAGGTAGACAGATGTCCAGAAAAAGAAAGGGACAGATCAAAAGAAGAGCCAAAGATTAAGGTCTAGAACAGTTCTTTATTATAAGCTGTTACACTCCCTTTTTTCCTGTTATTTGTATATTAAGTATTTCAAAATGTGCTGAGTATTGGCTGAAGAATCACAGTGAGTTTGGTGTTAGTAAACTGCACTTTTTTGTAATATTCAGTGTTAGGCATTATAAAGGTTTGCATACTGTAGTGCTTCMTAGTTTTATGTAAAGCTTTTGTCATATGACTTTTGTACATGCTGTGGAGAATAGAACTATGAATTTACTATGTAATGGAGACTATTTTTAAGCTTTCTAACATGGCCTGTTATAGGAGAAATATCCTAGTCTGCAGTGTGGATTATGCTTACTCATACACTCCAGCTTTTAGAAGTATTAATGTTTATTTCTTACTGGATCCTGGTTCCCTTGATTTGATGCGATTTCGGTGTTGTGCCAGACAATATGTATTAGAGTGAGCTTTTTAGTTGAGACTTCTGTTTTCTTTGTAGCTGCTTAAGAAGCCTGAAAAAGATGAAAAAGACTTGGAGAAAAAAGAAAAATCCAAGAAACTGGAAAAAGAGACTCTAAGGGAGGAAAAAAATGCGAGTAGTGCATCTGCCAAACGATCTGATGGGGAGACAAAAGAAGAGAAGGCAAAAAAGTATTCTAGTACTTGCTATAAATATATATTTATATATATAACTTGTTTCCTGAACATGCTGAGGCTCAAGCTGCTCTGCCATGACCATGTTTTGAAATTCCTTTCGAATTATTTTTCTGATACAGTGCATGGGGAGTGTTGTCTGTGGCAGTGCACATCCTGTGGTAACAAGAAGCTGTGTGTATTTTCCAATACTTCTTCACAAACGGATAAACCTTAATATTTTTGCAGCTTGCTGTAGGAGCCTTACAGTGGAAGGCCAGCTGTAGGTGACCTATAGCAGGGCTGTGGGAACTGCCCTTGCGATGGGAGAGTTATAACCATGGCATGAGGAAAAGGATACGCTGGTTACTAGTTACTTTAAGTCTTGCAAAAGGTCAAAGTGGAAGGTCTTAATTYGCAACAGCTCTGTGATCTGCTCAAAGCTCACTTCTGTCTTGTGCCAGAAACGAGGCAGAGAAACGTAGGTGCTTTCCAAAGCCACAGGAGACCCCGCCAAATCTGTGAGTAGAAGGCTAAGCATTGCTAGCACCCAATGTCGCCCTGGTTATCGTGCATGGCTCTGGTTAGGACAGCTGCCCGAAAGCTCCCTAGAGTCCAGCAGTCGGTCATCCTCATATTGCAAATTTGCACCAGTATTACATTGATCTCCCAGCTCTGCTTGATGAATCTTTTGAGCTTAATTTTCAGTTTTGTTTTCATACAGGTCAGAAGATGAGTGTGTAAAGGACTACAGGGATCGAGATAGAGATTTTGAAAGAGACAGAGAATATGAGAGAGCACAGAGGGAGAAACTGAGACGCCAAGAAGAGGAGCGTCGGAGGCAGAAAGAGCGCTTTGAGAAAGAGAAGGTTTTTAGAAGAAAAGAGGAAGAGGTGAAAAAGGAGAGAGACTTGCTCAGAGAAAAGGGAAAGAAAAGTGATCTCACAGACTTTACCAGCAACCCAGACAGACCTGAGAAAGTAACCAAAGACGATAAAAAAGAGGATACAATTAAGAGGGATCGTATCAGAAACAAGGTGCTAGTTCTCTTTAATACATTAATCAATAAGGGCAGATTTAAATGTGTTTTTAAAGATAAGCACACTTTAAGGAAAGGACCACATGGCTTTTCTCTTAAAACCTCTCCCCTCTTTGGTAGTCTACTTTACCATTATTGTTTGTCCCTTTGACTACCAAACTTGTAAACCACTTATTTATGGTATTTCTTGTCACTGTATAGGATTTAAATCAGGATAATGTCGAGTGTCATCAAAGTGTAAACATGCTGGTGCCTTTTTATTTGCTAGCTTACACCTGTAGCCTGTACCTTCAAGCTGTCAGAGTCTTCGGTAGTATCTCAGTGCATCTCTGCTGAAGCTCTGTGTGTCTGAAAACACATCTGCAGGCAGGAGAGGGACTGAGCTTCCTCTCAGTTCCTTTGAGATTCCTCCAAATCAGAGGCAAACCCTTACATGCAGAGTAGGCTGGAGGTTCTGCTGTCTGGAACCTGGTAMTAGGGTCCTGAGTTTGGTCTTACTCGCTTTGTGAATAATCCATTTTTGCCACATTGGTATACAAGTTTTCCATGTTACTTAGAGGACAATATTGAATACAAATGAATAAGCTTTGAAGTAGGCCTCTACTCTGAGGGGGAGTGAACTGTGTTAGTGCCTCAAAATAAAAACAAAACTTTGTGTGAATGGTTTCAAGCACATGCAGGGTTCTGTGTGCCTTGAACAGGGGCCTTGCCTTGCAAAAGAGGCAAGCTTGGTACTGTACCCATAAGCAACAAGACAGGCAAAGTTTTGTTGTTGCTGTGGTGGAATACTTTTGACTTAAAGCATTTTGAAAAGATTGGATTTGAGCAATTTTTAGCATCTCTGATGCCACATAACTGTGCTAGCATCGGGGCTATCAAAGAGTCTAAGTAGTTTTGATTTATTGCAGGATCGTCCAGCAATGCAGTTGTACCAGCCGGGAGCCCGAAGCCGAAGCAGATTGTGTCAGTATGAAGACAGTGCCGCAAAGTCCACAGATCAGGGAGCAGATAAGAAACCAGAGAGTGAGACGAGTAACACAAAGGAAGAAGAGTGATTAGCATGCACGCCTTATGTGTTCTGACTGTCTGTGCAGCCAAAGAGCTTGTACTACGCAATCCAGAAGTGCCTTCGAAGCGAAGAAGGAACACAGGAGGAAAAGGGGGCATTGTGCTGTTGGATGTTTCTGGCTAAAGAACCTCAGTTGTAGATTCAGAATTTGAAATGTGTTCTCATTGTATTTTCAGTTTTTGAATTTATTTTCCCAGCACCTAACTGCAACAGAGAAGAGATTTTTCTTTTTTYCCCCTTTTTGCAAAGCAGAAAAGACTTTGTGGCCTTAAGTGTGATAATAAACGAATCGTGCAGTCAGGAGGAGATGACAGCTGGATCTAAAGCCAGAGCTTTACTTTAAAGAAGGCAGGAGCCTGTATGTGACACACTCGAGCAGGGCGAGYGTGGAGCTGCCCTGAGTTAACGTAGGTTTGCGATGTCGCCTGGCGCTCCTGCCCCAGGCGGGAGCTCTTAAACTGTGGGTAGCAGCGAGACAGGTAAGGAGGCCCGGGGCTGGTACCAGAGAGGAGGCTGCTCGCCAGAGCAGRGGGCCGCCGTGCCCCTGCGGTCACTGCGGGAGGTGACGGAGCGCCTGACTGCGCTGGAGCTGCTGCCTTCCCGCGGACGGACAGGCCGCCCGTGCCGCGCTGCTTGCGGGGC